TCCAGCCACGCTGCGAAAGCAAATTTGTTTTTTATTTAATGGTTCTAGAAAGCATTTTTCCTGTGTTGTTTTGCAACCACATACCTTTCAAAACTGTCGGCTCTTCACAACTCCTGGCAAAAGAATGCGATAACAAAGAAAAAAAGCCTGAGATCTGCTGAAGAGGCCACAGTTGCAGGGATGGATGACCAAACGCTCTGGCTTCAGCCCCTCTGCAACCACGCTGGACCGTTGTGCCCGATGGCCAGGAGCTAACACCAGCTGCTCAGGTGTCACTGTCTCCTTTTCTCTTCCAGTGATGAGGGTACTTCTGTGCAGAGAGGTTTAAGGGCACCAGCACAGGGGCTGCATGAGCAGAGGCATGTATCTGGGCCACATTTTGACAGAAGAAATCCAATCTTTACCACATGCACCGTTTTGGTGCCGTTAGAGCAAAAAAAGAGGTGGAACTGCCAGAGAGCCGTGCTCAGCTGGGGCACATGGTATTTGCATTGGCCTTAAACTCACCTCCAAAAGTGTCCCTCAGCTCTGCAGCATCCACTGGGTCCACTCTCATCTGCCATGCACACTGGATGGCACAAACTTGGAGAGGGATTAAAAGCACCACAAGGTTGTTGATTTACTACTGATTTACCACGGGAACCTTCATAATAATTCTCACCATGTAGTTTGATGTCCACAGATTAGATTACTTTTCCTCTCGAAAAGTGTCAGGCTTAGAAACAGAACTGGTTTTAGTCCGGCATGAGAAGAACAAAATCCTGCTCAGGACTTCGCATCGTGGGCTGCTGCCCGTGACCCCTTGGGAGCTTGCGTCTGTTTCTGGGGTTTCATCCAGGGCGTTCGCATTTGCGCTGGGTATAACGCCTGCAGCAGGATGACAAAACGTCACCATCAGAACCGCCTGTACAGCTGCTAACAAGCAAGTTAAACACCAAATAAGAAAAAATGACAAGTATTGTTGTTACACTTACATACTCCCATGGGTACTGCGAAGCCAAGCTTTCAGTTTATCAGGGAACTGAATTTAAATAGATTTTTTGAAGGTGCCAAAAAAGGTGGTAGATAAGGATGCCAAGTTACTATAGTAACCATGAGAAAAGCAGTGATTATCAGCAATACCACATAGAAAAGACAGGCTGGATTGTCTTTTCATTTTACATGTAGCCCACTGCTTAAAAATCTAAGCCCTTTTCTAAAATACAGAAACACCATGGAAAAATAACTTTAATATGAAACGCACTATGCAAAATTATTTTTCAAGGATTTTTCAGCCTTTGCACCCTTGCCATTAGACCCAAAGTTTAGAGGATGTTCCCGTAACCCAAATGCTTTACGGCTGAAGGAGAGGTGAATAATAAAGCCTGACTTTTCATGTTTTCTTACCTAGTAACCACTGCAGCAGAGGGGGAAAATCAATATTGATGTCCCACTGTAAGCTCCTTAGGACAGAGCATGTTCTTTGTTTGGCATAATGAGGCTCACATGTACACACAGCACTTGGGCACAAGTGACAGGAGTGCAAGATCAGAGATTACAAACTCCTAGCGGCTGCTTGGAGGAATCCGTGCTGGTGCTCACGTGTACCAGGTTGTCTGTGAGCTGCAACTCAATGCTGCTGCAGCCCACAGAGATCTAAAGGCTGAAGCCTGGTTATTTGGTTGGGCTTTGGAGAAAACCTCTGTAGATGGACCTAAGGCAGAAAGAATGAGAGAAATGAGGAGAATCATTCCACTGACATAGAAACACACTGCTCTAGGCTCTGGCTAAAAAGTGTTTTAAACATTTCTTTTTTCTCCTGAACTATCTGAAAGCTGGTTGACAGTGTTTTTTAGCAACTGGAAACAAAGCAGAGATGTCTGTCACACCTCACATGTGTAAGGAACACAGAAACGCCTGAGAGACCAATTGATTGATTTGTGATCTGCTGACTCCAGCAGCTCTACCAAGCTATCTTCAATTCCTCTATTTTCAACGCACATCTAAGAAACATTAATGAAGCCTTACTAAAATTTACTGCATCTCAAAATTTCTCTTGTCAAAAGTTGTAACTGATGCTGGGTCTGTAGAAATAAATCCCTGCAGTTTCATTAACCTGAAACTTTATTCCCAGACACAGCTCTATTCACCTGTTGGAAAGCACGCTTTAGCGAGAACTACGTGATTCTCATGGACTAAAACATTGCCCATGACTGCTAGGAGCAAATCTCTGTGTTCTTCATCACCTGCCATAAATGCTGGCTTTGACAAATTGGCTAAACAAAAAGCATGCTGCGTGCCAGCAGTGCTTTAGTTCTAGGTTCACAGGATGATGATTAAGAAAAACATTGTGAGCAAAACTCACAGTCCTTGTAGCTAAAGCCTTTCGTGCCGCTCAACTCACAGGTGTTGTTCACAGCATTATGGCAATCAATCCCTGTGGATGTTGAAGACATAAAGCTGCTAACCAGAACACAAAGGGCAAGGATTCCAAACTGCTGATTTTGAAAAGCAGGACTTACCTATAAAATACTACTGTGCTAACGGCAGGAAAACAGCGGGTATCTGGACTTGCCTGTGAACCTGTCTGGAACAACACTCACCTTCGACCTAGTGTCGCCACCCACCTGCCTCCTTAAAGGTGGGGATAAGAGCGTGGAGTCTCCAAGGACTCCCTTTTGTCCAAGCTTTGCATGTCCACTGGTACACTTTCATACGTGACACGTTGCCTGCTGAGAAGCCACGACAAGCGTATCTGCCCAGATGGGCATCGGCAGACGACCCATTGGACCTTTGCAGACTTCTGACTTGTAAATAGCACACACCAGTTTTCAGCTGGTTTTTTGTTGGTTGTTTTTTCTCCCCCAAAGTGAGCGGTTATCTGAGTAGCGTCAGTGACCCAGTCTGGATTCACAGTGGTGCCTTAGGACATCCAACCACTCCTGTGAGACACGGGGCTACGAAAGGAAAATTAACAACGCATTTGAAAGAGCCCTTGCGACAGACACAGGGAGCGCCCTCCTGATCACTACATGATGCTAAAAAGAAAGTGGTTAGATATGCACAAGCATGTACAAGCTAGCCTCTGATTTTTGAAGGTCAAAATTATGATTTCATTGAACTTTTAAACCGATTATGGCATTAGCAAGAACAGGTACAAATCTTTTGGGGAGAAACAGGCTAAGGCAGGGTAAGTAAATTATCTCAACACAGTATCTGTCTTCCTGTGGATTTCAGTGCTACTCTTACTTGAATCAGCTTGTGATGATATGTTTGTACCTGCCACAGAAGCAAAATACACAATCCAATCTCATGCCAAGTCACTATTAACAACTGCATTTTCAATCGGTTCTAGGATATTCATTAACTGGGATCCAAAATTACATATAATTTACAGACATATCATTTTAAATCACTTGCCAGTGAGCTTACTAAGCTGACTTTATGACATTCAAATACATTATTCTTAAAAATTCACTGAGTAATCAGCTTGCAAATAATTACAGCGGAACAGCACCGGATATAATCAAGTAGATACTTAGAACAAGAATCAGCAGGCGTGCCTATAGATCATTTTGCCATGTGATTTTGACATTCCCTTCAACTGTCTCCAGCAAACTCTTATGTACTGAACTGTGGACTCCACAGCTGTTGCACTAACCCAGCTCCATCACAGCAGAACTCCTTAGACTTCTTGTTTCACGGGCAACCCGGGCTTGACATCTTTTCTTCAATATCAGGCAGCTGATTTTTGAATTAATTTACCCTTTAAGCAAGCGTCCTGTTGGTTGGGGGGGGGACACTGGTGGCAAGCAGCACGCAAGCAGCACTGCACCGTGTTGCAGAATCTCCCTTGCTCTGGGGCTGGAAACGTCGGGCACTGGTTGGAGCCAAGTGGCAGCCACAGGAACGTAGCAACATCAGGATCAGGTCAACTGGCTTTTAGCGCAGGCAAAGCTCAACATGTCTCCATGCACACTATTTCATTCATTTCATATGCCGATTTTACTTTTGAAGGCTATGTATGGTCTGGTTTATATCTATAGTTTCTCTCCATGGTCAATAGGGATATTTTATGTACCATAAAAAGAATTGCACAGTGATACAGGCAATTTAAATGTCTAAGTTGGAACTTTAGGACCCTCACTGGAAACCCAATGCAGATGGGTTAAACAAATTACATTCTTCTATTGCAAGGTGTAAGGGAAAAACTAATACAAATATGTAAGACACAGACTCTGAGCACAGCCTCCCATATGAATCATATACACACCTTCTTGCCTTACATGAAACAAGGCGCCAATTTTTGAGTGCTGAAGCAATCACTCTTACTGCTCTTCAGTCCTACGTTAAATTACATCAGTAAAGCAGTCAGTAGCTGGTACTCTCAGAGCCTGCCATATTTACTCTGTTGTGGTCTAGATGTATAAACTGCCCATGTACACACCTTAAATTGCAGCACACTGTACACACTATACCACCCTACAGCTCTGACATGTAATATGCAACAACAGATAATTTTATGAAGATGAGGAAAATACTACTTCCTCTGATGCAAAAGGAAAAGAGCGAGCTTATGAAATGGAGGCCTTTCAACAACACACTATCTTAAGAGTACAAAGAACAAGATAGCTCAGAACCAATTAAAAATGCACAATAAGTAATGATTTTTTTTTTTATTTGAGCAAACCCATAATTTACAGATAAACACCACAAAACTTCTTGATTCAACTTCATTTGTTTCCATATAGAACCTTTGAATATTGGAAATAAATTAGACTAACAAATAAATGTCTTAGTCACAAGGAACTTTTATGTTATGTGATTTTTCACTGCATTACAACTTCATACAAAACTACAAAAATAAGACACTATTTACAAAATATATCCCTTTGTTTGCAAAAGTATTGGTTAATTCAAGTTTTAAGTTACATGATAAATTATACAGCTCAGTCACACTTTACAAACAGTTAAAAGATAAACCTACTCTGAATCCAAAATTATTTCCTCTCATGGTCTGACTATGCCAATTCATAGTACTTCCCAGAATTTGGATTGAAGTAACAGTTCAGACATGGATCATACAAAAGAGTCAAAACTTCCTCATCTTCTTCAGCATTGAGGTCATCTTCACCTGTGTCAAGAGGGAAAAGTAAGAATAAATCACTCTTATTCCCTTAGACAATAACATGGAAATATCCTCTGTCAGATGTGACAGAATGCCTCTTTAAAGTGTATAATCTTCTGAAATGTTACCTTCAAGATAACAGCAATTCACATTTTTATTATATTTCTAAAGACTTGTATTTAGTTGAGGTGAAATGATGTCAACCAGAGTTTGCTTAGCAACTGGACTTTACAAAGTCCAACGGAGCAGTTCACCAGAAGTACCTTTACTGATAGTGGGTCAAAGTATCCCTAAGTGATATTTTCCTCAATGACTTCCTTAAACAATAAAGTTTTAGTACGAACAAAGACAGTCAGTGTGTACTCAAGGGCTGTAAGAATGAAAGGATTTGAATGTCTGCTATCCAATATATTACATAAATGTCCAGTATACGTAAATCTGTACAAAAGAGCTTTCAGGATCAGAGAGGAAATAAGATTCTTTCAGACAAAAAAAATATTAAATCTAAGTTGTCTAACATGATTTAAAATGCAAGAATGTTTTCAGGTACCAGAAATGAGTTCTTAACCTAAAATACATTGACAAAGCCATACAGACTGTTACAAAGCCTTTATATATTGTAGCTCCTTTTCTAAACCTGCCTGTCTTTCATATAAGGTAAACCTAACTTATATGACCTATAGCTTTTTGATAGGAAATAATTCACAGTTGAACACAATCTGTATCTTGAATTTCATCATAAATGTTCATCTCGTTTTCAGACTGCTAATATAAACCAAATGCTTTGTATGCCCTAACACTTCATAATAAGTAATGGCCTGTTATGCTAACAGCAGCAGTTTCACAATCCCCAGAATCTATTTACAGCCTGGAACACAGAACGATATATAGGTTACATTACCTAGAGACCAGAAAGGAGGTTGGTGCATTTAATGCATACAGAAGAAAAGTGCACTATATCGTTTGGGAAGAGATTTCATTTCTGTTTCCTCAGTAGCATTAACAAATGCCATCAGAAAGAAACTGACTCTTACTGTCACCACAGGTAAAACGGTAAAGCTGAATTGTTGCCCTCCTTGCTGTGGGTACTTCATCAGGACTGCTAAGCTAATTGAGGGTAACTGAGATATATTGTTTGGACAGCTCTGGGAAAAATTATGCAGTGGAGAAAGAAGGCGTAGAACTGAATGTCTTTTTCTACACTTCAGATCATAGTAAACAAGCAAATGGTATTTGTGCCTCATTCCCTCATATAGCCTTACATTTTCACCCGAAACCATGTTATTTCCACTGAATTCTTCTTTTTATTATTTTGCTTCTCCCTGCCTATGCTTCTCTTCAAAATTATTCTCTTTTCTTCTCTAAGCTTAAATCTCATTCCCTCTCTACCTCGGAACTGGCCTCTCAATATACTCCCTGGTTTGATTTAGGAATAAGAAATTCTTCAGACTCATCAGACCTCTTTCCTTTTTTTCCCTGCATGACTTAAATTCACACCAAATCAGAATTAGATTGCATCCAGGACTAGCTGGATTTATACCTTTATAGCAATAATTCCCTGCATGTATTTTCATGTGAACAAGAAGAGAACTTGGTTTTCTAGTTGTATCTTGTTTTTAAAGTCAGGCTTCTTTCTTTTAGTTCTCACAATATCCCCAAATGCATTTTAAGGCATTTCTAGATGCTGCAATAGATTTCCAATGGCAGTATGGAGTATTCAGTTTTGAACAGATTAAAAAACAATATGAAAACCTCACTTCTGTTCTTCTACTTCCTGAAAAGAAGTACTAAATTAACTGACGTTCTTCTACAAGACTCAACTAATGTGCAATGGTTGTGTTAGAAGGCATCTTTCTACTTTCAAATTGTATGTTTGCAACCCGACCGTATCTAGGAATGAAAATGTCCATGGCCAAATTAATGGATAAACAAGTCACTTTTAAAGAAAAATTTCCATAGCTGTTCATGCTGCCACCATTCATGCTTTTGGGTTGAAGCTGCTCAGGATTGCATGAAAAAACCTCTTGGCAGTTTAATTTGAATATCATGGTGAAAGCAAAATCAAAGCTTTTGTTCTTAAATCACTATGAAATTAAACAGTATTTTAGGCTAGAAAATAACTTGGTTTTAAATGAAACCTTAAGTCTGTGACATACATTATAGCGGGATGAGTATTTTTCAGTTCTGAGATGAAAGAAGACTGAAGATAGTGAGTACCTCTGGATACCTATCATATTAAATGAAATGCTGCCCCATTGAAATCAGGGGAGCTATTGTTTTTATGGAGAAAGGTTTTTGCTCAACATGTCTATACCTGGGTAACAAAGAATGGAGGAAGCATGTAGCAGCTTTTCCTGAACTCTGAAATGAATGTACAAATAACTGTGGTGTTATCTGGATTGTGTTAACACTGTTTACATAGTCACCGCAGTCTGGGGAACTACAATAGTTTCCCTTTTCACAGAAATATATTTTCACTGTATTCTAGGTTTTAATATTAGAAAATAGCTTGTAGCAAATCTCACTTTAAGATACATGGATCATATTCTGACCCTGAAGTAAGTCAACTGCACTGGATCAGCTGTCAGTAAGAAGGGACGCTGAAAAGAACACTGCTAGTATTTTCTCCAGTATGATCCTTGAACATTGAACTCCAATGCTCTAATCTATACTGTAATTATGTACTGCAGGGTTATCATATGACTATTGTCAACAGCTGTAGTCCAAGAAAGAAGACCATTCAGCGCTGTGGTTCCTAGAGCACTATTTTAAGATAAGCAACAGATATAATAAAGTAAGTTCCAGAGAATTTGTGACTCTGCCTTTGTCGCCTACTGTGGAAACATTCTTGTATGACTTGTTATGTCAAGATAAATCAAATTGCCTATAAATCAGAAATATCAATGCCCAATAAGGCAGAAATCTACGGAAAGTTATCATATTTATGAGTCTAAATTTTCCTCTTGATTGCCTTGTGAGACCTGCTGAATAGA